ATATTGCCAAAAGACATTCTGTAACCCTTAAACCAGAAGGTCAGCTGGGTGAAAAATCTGGACTTCATGACAAATATAGACATTCAGAGAGTCAGATAAACATTTTGCCATTCAGCAGCCCATCAAATTAGAGGGGCAGTTTAGGGTGAGTTCAGATTCATGCCAATATAGACCACTGAATTCACAGAGGAGTATTGTCAAGAGGCATTTAGTATGTTTAACACCTTAAGGGTATATGTGTGTATATATATATATATATATATATATATATATATATATATATATATATATATATATATATATATATATATATATATATATATATATGTATATATAATATATATATATATATATATATATATATATATATATATATATATATATATATATATATTTATTTATTTATATATATATATATTAATACATAAATCATATCCATCCAGACGTATCAACACATATATCTCTATGGAAATGGAGACTCCTTAAGAGCATACCAAGAAGGGGACGGAATGTGCCATACTCTTTAAGTCTTCTGTCAATAATTCCCTTCTTTATTCGCAAATTGGGAAAGGAAATTAAAAAAAAAAAAAAAGAAATTACAAACTCACTCCCTCCCCCTCTTTCCTTCCCCCAAATGCAGATTTTCGTGACTGTCGTAGCGCATGAGGAGCAAGCATTTTGTGATAAAAGCAGTGGTAGAAGATTAATGATGTAACTGAATTATATGATATGAAAATTGCAGGAAGAGAAGGCGAGGGCAGGAAATGGCAACGATAACGGCCGCCAAGTTTTTTTTTCTATTATCATAAATATAAGTATTATCATCACCATTATTATAATTATTATTTATTATTATTATTTTTTATCATTATCATTATTTTATCATTATCATTATTTTATCATTATCATTATTTTATCATTATCATTATTTTATCATTATCATTATCATTACAATTATTATTATTATTATTACTATTCCCCTATTATTATCATTATTACTATTCTTCCTTCCTCGTTGTCGTGGGGGGCTCTGGTGACGGAGATTGAGGCCTAAAGTAGGGGATCACCCCTACTTTGGTTCTTGCCTCTCCCCTCAACTAATTTTGGATGGTCTTTTCTTCCTTCCCTTTCCTTTCTTTCTTTTCTTCACCATCCCCTTCTTCTGCCCACTTCCTAAGCTGTGAGACCCATGGTGAAAGGATAAAAGGCTGGCTTTGTGTCAGCCATGAACGGCCTCCGGGAGATCGGGGCACGGTATATTCCCTTGGCTAATTGTCTAGATCTTACCCCTCATGGGACGCTGAGGGGTTGACCGTTTCCTTTCCCCCTTTATTTCAGGCGCAACATGGCTAGTAATGAAGACGTTTTATCCTTAATAGGGGCATTAAGGCTTGTCCCTTCACCAACTAGCCTATTTAAATTTAATTTCATTGGTTTCCCGACCCCTGCCTCTCCTTTGACCACGGCTCCGACTGAAACTAATACCCCTATTTGCAGTCAACTCTATCCACGCACGCTGCCGAGGTTTTTCTATTTCTACCTATTTGAAACCTATATTTCGCTCTGCGCACCTCACATCTTCTTAAGAAGTCCCAACATTTCCCCCAGTATCTCTTGCCTCTACTCCGAACCCATCTATCACTACTCCCTCTCTCCCCCAGTCAAATTCCTTTTCCAGTCTAAATCCACGTCTACCACTTCCCCGGTGCCTACTCTCCCCCCTCTTTCTCACTCTACCTGTCGCACCAGACAATTCAAACGTTCCACTCCATCTTCTGCCACAGCCTCTCCTATACCCACCTCTCCCTCTGCTCCTCGGATATCTAGTCCTTCTACTCCTCCATATAAGAAAACTTTTTTTTCCTTATACTTCCCCACCCAACTCCCCTCCAGAAACTTTTGAAGACATCCAAAAGTTCCTAAACATAACTCAAAAGAATAATTCACTCCTTCACCCACCCTCTGTCTAATCCCTCTATTCCTACACGCTCTACATTTAAAGTATTTGCCATTATCCATCCTCCTCAAGTTCCCCCCCATCCCCTCTTCCTCCCACTCACCAAAAAAAACATCCCATCCTCTCTCCTCCTCCATGTGCATAACCATTCCCTCTTCCTTCCCCCATTATCCTTACCAGCCCCACTTAGATGCTCACGTGACTCCTTTATGCCTTAACAATGCCTTAACGACCTTCCCCATACTTCACCACCTTCCCCTGTTCCCTCATTTCATTCCACAACTACCGTTTCTTACCGTATTATACCCTCTGGCTGTGTCATAATAGCTCTTTTGCAGTTTTCCTCATCGTTACTCACCCTCCCTCAGACACAGACTCTCCATTTGATATAATCGCCCTATACCCTTAACCACATCTCCATTCACAAATCCCCATTCCATTTGCTCCCCCTCTGTACCTTTTTCACTACCATCCTCCCCTACAGCATTCTACAACCTCTGATATAACACATTTGATCGTTCATTCCATCCTTTTCAACACAAT